GGAGCCGCTCGGGCGCGTCTGATGGCGATAAAATCTCGGACATTGCATTGCATGGGCTCCGCGAATATCTACAGTTGTTTGATCGCTTGCAGAGGCAAAGGTTGCCTCGCTGAACTTTTTGGTATTTCGTAAATTTATATTCAAAAAAGGGGTATGAATCGCTGCGTCCGCTGAAAGCAGATGTAGTAATTCTGACTGGCCTGCAGTGAAAAAAGCAAAAAAAGAAACAGCTGAAAACCATTAAAATTACCTTGCGTTGATAGTTTTAACAATAAGACTACTAGCGACCTACTCCTGGATCAGCTTCCTTTTTACTATAACATGGTGAGCAACTGAATCTGATTGCGGGAGTAGTTGGGCTGGCACTGTGGGGTGCGCCTTCAAGGAAGTTGTCGATGCAGCAACCCCAGATGGATCCATACTTTCACTGTTATGGAATGAAAAGATGAGCGAGCTCTGAGGAGTGAGGAGTTGAATAGGTGCTAATTTTGGTCCGTTTTCCTTTTGGTCCTTCTAGCAACGCCCATTTGCTGGCCGTGGAGACCGACTGTTAGCTGCATGGCCGCGACTAATTCGAATACGCGCGGGTTAGTGGCACTGTAAAGCCAGTTTGAAAAGTTTCTCCGGTTTCGCTTCTTTCTTATCTCAAAGAGGACTAGAGGAAATACTTGTTAATGGCTTAAGTGGTGGTTTGCTTTGGCTGCTTTCTTCATTTTCGAAACAGCATCTGTATTTTCATTATCGACCGTTTTTACCCCCCCGATTTGATCTAGGGTTGTCTGAATAGAATTGGAAAATGTAGGTAGCTTGTCGAAAAGTCTGGAGCCGGAGAAGTGAAATTGCAGTGCAGGCATCTTTTGTGTCGTTAGCTCGATTGGTGGTTTGCTTACGCAGGCTGCGCAGATCATCCTCTGATGCATTAGCTAGCATGATTCAATCTTCCTCTCAGAAAAAGCCTGAAAAAGGGTAGCTGCAATATACTGCTGCAAACATTATGTTCAAAGGTCAGAATTCATATTGGCAGATGAGCAGCACTACTATTCAGCGTCGCTGTAGTTGCTGTTTTGCACATCACGCCATGCCTTCACACAAGCCCACCAGTGGGTAGCCTATGGTCTCACAATGGCTTTATGGATTCCAGTGTCACTTGCCCTCAATTCCGTCAACAAGTGATTACACTGCATAGTAAAATAAATTGAGTATGTTATAGGTGTCCTTGTGAAAATGTGCCTTCTCACATAGCGACGATTTAAAATGGACTCTGTTTGGAGTGGTGCCCTTATGATGGTGGTAGGTATTCTAATGTTTCTTGCAGAGATAAAAGGAAATTACTACTCGTTTCCAGAGCGTCGTTATCTGCCTAATTTTTTGAATATCATTCTCTAATTTCAACTTTGATTACTTCAGGTGGGAATATTGAGTATTGTTCCAATAATGTTCGTGATGACGAGGCTGCTTATACTTCGTCGACGCCTTCATCCATTTCACTATTTGATCCTGTCAAAACTCGCGGCCGACGCTATCGAGATTCTTCTTCCGATGATGACGTTTTCGGCTTCGCAGTTACTGTTGTGAGCTGGCAATATTAATAGGCATTCCTTTTTTACTTCACTTACTTTAAAAAATTCCGTTTTGTCAAAACGTTTCCGATGTCTGTGCGTTTGACTCGGGGTAAAGGCAAGGGTCGGGCTCAGTTTCACTAGAGCCCCTTCCGTGGTTAGAGGTGCTAGGCCCGTCTCCATTTTTGCGCTTGCAAATGCGTCACTACGATGGTAGGCGCTCGGAATTTGGATCCCCCTGCCATAAAAAGATCCATGCCACCCACCACTCGATATCTTATCTTATCTGTGTGGTAACGTTGACCTGCTATCGACTAGAACTTTTTTCCCTTTCACACTATCACTTGTCTCGCTGTCTGCTTCTCAGGCTTTCTCGCAGTGTAGAGCGAATACTTTCGTATTTGATCTTTTGAACAAGTTCGGCTTCAGCATTTTTTGTTTTACTGTGGGAGCATCAAAGTAGCGTTTAGTAGTCTGGGATTTTTTTCAGTGTTATCTGTGATTAAATTTTTCAGCGGTCAATGGCTAGGTGTTGAAAATGAACTCGTTATTGGCTATCTAGCGTTATCACTGCAGTACTCCAGTATATATACCTCTACGGCAATGACCGTCAATCGGCTCATTGCTGTTGTTTACACGCATGAGTACAATAAATGGTTTAATAAAAAGACAACAATAATCTGGATTATAGCATGCTGGATGATCGCATGGTCTCACAATATTATTCATTTGAGAGGCCAGTTTATTTTTTAGTAGCCTTGAAAAGAATGGAGCTATTGTGTGGGCTCCTTGGATGTTTAAGAGCTTCGAGTTGAAAAGAATTCCGGAAATTTTCCAGCGAGAGTCAAGTTGTTGCAAGGATGTCGCATAGTGTGCGTGATCCCGCTGCCACAAGGAGCGCGGACAAAATCGCGGAAGAACTAGTACGGTAGTGGAAACCTCAGGCAGTGGGAGAGTTAAGGATGGCTGTATAACGGGTTCACGTACTGCATCAAACGCGCCAGAGAGATCCAGCACCACCATCAATTCTCCATCTCCACGGTCTGCTCCTACGTTCTTACGGCACATAGCCGTTTCGTCGGTCACAACACCATCCTTTCAAGTAAATCTCGCTAGATCACTTAGTTGCTGCAATCAACCGCCGGAGCGTGAGCATATTGACGGCTATCCGTACCCAATGTTATTTTGTGGGCCTGAATCAAGCGTCAAGTAGATTGCGGCTCTTGCGACTGAGCGGGACTAAAGTTCGTGACTAAGAAGAAGATAGGAGTGAAATAGACAACCATTTCCAAGCCACAACGAGTGGGTGGGCCAAGAAGTTCGTTGCGCTAATTCACTATTGATTAGTCCTTCCCGAAGTCTTACATAAATGTACCAGTGTCGAGCACATTCCTATAATTTTAGATTTTGGCTATGGTCTTTGGCCATACACTTCTGCATAGTGCGGAATTTTTGGGTTTTTTTTTCGAAAAATGTACTACAAAACGTGTTGAAGCATTGGTTGACTTCCTCAGAACATATCTGCCGTAGCATCCCGCAGCGACGACAGTGAAGAAGGTCCATGTCTGTGACTGAGTGAGAGCATACTCTGATACTCTCGCTTCATGAACTCAGGGGAAATTATAAGTGTAAGCAATGCTGCAGGAAGTCCATGTATGGCCTTGACGGTCCTTCATCACGTGATAAAAATTTAGTTTTTCAAATACTTGAAAGGAAAAACAAATATCTGCTTAACCTGTACGACTGGATTGCGAAGGTTCCTTGATGCTCACAGAATAGAATCGTGGGAGGATCCGAGAACTGGCAAAGGCGTTTCATGATGAATGTTCTGTTATTCATAGGCCAATAGTCGTTCCTTAATATTGCTTAAGCGTTAAAAAATAAAAAAATAGGTTGTGGTGAAAGGATTTGTAGTGATCTGAGTGACCGCCAGCTTCAAGGTGACAAGATTCTGCCAGAATTTTCCGTCGGTCTCTCGTTTCAAAAAATGGCATTCACAAGTCACATAATGGTACTATGTTGGCGATAATGGTCGGGCAGAAATATGCTAATTGTTGACTGTGCTAAAGAAGAAAACGTTTTAGAAAAGAAGAAAAATGGTCCAAGAGGCTTTTGCGACAATCTAAACGACGGATAATTTATTTCAGAAGACTGTAGCTTCACATTCGACGCACAATTACGGCAGTTTACCTTCAGTGATCAACAGTGTGGGCGCGCACTTTCTCTCTTTATCAGGATTTGATCTACAATGTTACCTTGGCAGTCGTTAGTACCTTTGCCGACATTTACTGCTTGCTAAAACTGAACTACTACAGAAAGGTTCTCATCTGACCACATTCAGTAACTTGTATGAATTACAACAATTGTGCATATATGTGTTCAGAAAACTGCTGCCGCTCCTGTACGGTCGAGAAGAGAAAAAGCATGGTTCCTTCAGGTGCTATTTTTGATTTAATTCTATAATGTCGCCTTGAAGCTGATGCAGAATAAGGGAAGTCTCTTGTAAATGTGAAATTTATTTAAGACCGCAGCAAATTCGATTCTCTACGTATTAATGTTGGTCTCATTCCATATTGCTGAGTGTTTCGAGGGAGTTACATCACGCTTCATTCTCACGGTAATCGCGTGGCAAATATGGCTCGGATCAACCCCGTGAGTCTTGCAAGATACCTGGATAATCTCCGTCAAGTAAGCTTTTGACGCACTGAAATGTAGCGTACTACTCCCTATTAAAGTCATTTCCAGATAATATCGAACATATTGTCTTTCGCAATATGAGCTACCTTCACAGTCCAATTTATTATACTTAGCATCCTTAAAGGACGAATTCACGATCAGAGGGAAAATCGAATTAGGAAGAATTCACCTGGTTGAGGGACCCGCGGAGCTCCTAAGTGTGCGAACTGAAGCACAATTTGCACAGGAGGAGTTGACCTCGTTGACCTATTAAGGTTTAATCCCGCCGCGGCTGGTCAGTGCACGCCCACCGATCATCTGATCACTCGCCGCAGGTCTATACGTGGTGAGTGATTAGATAGGTGAGAGAGCGTAGCGTTGAAGACCATCGCTAAGGTATTTGAAATGGGTTGCTTTTCCAGCGTGAATTCGTTCCTTTAAAGGCAAGATTCAAGCTTAAATTGATGAGGTAATTCTACTCAAATGTGATGTAGGGGTGGGAGGTGGACCGCCAGTGGAGAAAAAGGAAAAAATCGTGAAATACACAGGAAATACGAGCCTTTTGCTCTACGTTGCGGAGAAGTTCAAAAGGCCGGCAGGGAGATGAGAGATAATGTGAGCGCGGAGAGCGGTAGAGAAGTCCGAGAAGAGAGAGCATAGCAGATCAAGCATTGCGACGCAGACAAAATATCGAGCGGTGGGCGGGAGCGTGTCGCAAGGTGGAGCGTGTCAAAGTCCTTGGCCCCTAGCGCCTTAGTGACGCATTTGGATGCGGGAACTTGGCGAGTCGCCTGCAGTTGCGTCCCATGCACTTCTAGCCACTTTAAGGGCTTATTAGGTGGGTCTGAGCCCGAACTCTGCCTTTAAATGTCAAAGAAATAATATGCAAGAGCATGGCTGATTTGCACCCCTTTTTCTATTAGTTTTCAAAGCCAGCCCGGAAAGTTTCAAATACGCTTTGTTCGCCGCCGACCATTTTAAGCTCATCCTCTCTGAAACGATGATGTTGTAATGGCACGTGGCCTCACGCACACACACCGCTCGTACAGTCCAGGAATCAACTTTCAGAAAAATCGTTGCTCGTTGCTTTGCGCCATTATCGATCTCTTCATATCAATTTCCGACAAACTACTATATCAGGCATAGCGCACGCCTCCTCCATCCACCTTGAGCGGTAACAAGGCTGAGCCAGCCATGACAAGACAATTTGGCTGTTACGAGCCCTCGGCTGAGCTCCGAAAATTATCTATGTCTTTCTGAGTACAGGCAATGTATTTTTGCAATTATAGGTTGAAAGCAATCCCGGCATCACCCCGACTAGTAGGGAGACTACGAGGGAACTGTGGAGACCGTACCTACATAGATCATGCGGCTTCTTCGCAAATCGCTCGAATAGGGCGCTATCCATTACGAGCCTGCAACCATCGACTCCGTTGCAACCTCTCCATCCACCGCGATTGACGAAGTGATTAGGTGCTAGGTCGAACCGCTGGCTCGCGCTTGCTTGTCTTCTTTGATGCCCTGTCCGCCATCGTACCACTTCCGAACCCAGTGAAGATCAAGGCCAGCGTCTCTGATTACTTCTCTTGCTTTCTTTCCCGCTGTCATTCCACTACGCAGCTCATCCATCACCGCGACGAGCCCTTATACGCTACTTTTATCCCTGAGCTTGCCTTTAGGGTTCTCCTCGCATGTGGTCCACTTGCACTTGATCTGTTTCCCTGCGAGCTTGTCTTATCGATGAGATAGTAGAAGCTATGAGCCTTTGTAATTTTTGAAGAGAGCGATTTGAACTGCTAGTAGTTGTAGCAACGATAACTTACCCTACTACTGCTTTTTGCAAGTGCTTTTTCATTGGTCAGGAATGCATGAATCCTGCACTAGCAGGTGTAAGTCGCAGTGAAATGTATCGTTTACTTTGACTCGATAAAAGTGGAATTGGTTCCTCATTATTATATCTGAGTTTCGGAGGAGAACCTTCAATCTTCTTCTCGGAGGAGAACCAGTCCTTTCAAACTTCTTCTTTATGTTTTTAATTACTTCTGTATTTTTACAAGATATGATTTCTAGATGAGGTGTAACATTCATTCCGCACATGCTTCAAGACAGAATGTGGACGAATTACTGTGTTATTCCCCTGCATACCAAGCTGACAAAGTTACTTGAATGATTTTCTTCCAGGTACATAATCTTATCCATTGAGAAGGAATTTCGGACTCCACTCTACAAGCTGTGGAATTGCCGACATAAGTCTGGAGTCTCCCCTAGTTCCGCTACGTTTTGATTCTCTGCAATCGTCGTTCACATTCGTTGCTCAACATGTAACATTTGCATAAATATCAACATTTTCGAAATTGCTGTACAAATTGATTACACTACAGAGATTTCAAAGATAGCAGTGTCTAAGTCTTCAATGCAGCCGCCCAAAAGTGTTGTACTTTGTAGTCCTTCATTACCCTTGAAAGGGTCACTACAATATTTTCTGAAATTCAATCTTCGATCTAAATCTAAAATCTAATCTAAATTGACTGGATCCACCATAGATCTTTTGTCAACAGCACAGTACAAAGGTGACGAAAGATG